AATATTTTATCCTCAGGATTGTTGAGTTGATGAGAGTATGATCAGTTTGAGTGCTAATTTGCTATTCTTTTTTATCATTGATACGTCAAAGATAATAAAGTGTGTACCCCATACTATGTACTATGTTCCCACAAAGATTGCTCTTATAGTGCAAATAAAGCCAAAAAATAGAACTTATGAGTAGACGACTCACCGGAAAAGAGGCGAGGGCATCGCGGCAGTAGAGAGCGCATAGAACTCCCCCGGGAGCTGACTAGAGAGCCACCGTGGCAGCCAGAGTTGGTGGTCCTTTTAGCTATATTGGCAGTACCAAAGCTGCCGCTGGCAGAAGAGCTAGAAACTCGAACAGTGTAGTCAATACTGTGCGAGGAGACGGGATCTTTTGTAAACTCAGTGTGGCCGTTTGGTAGACTGAATTTTAAAGCTGGATCTTCCTGGTCCGAGAGCTCCAACGTGATTCCCGGCTCATCTGGTGTGTGTGAGAGGGTGGACGTCGTATTTTCTGATAAACAAGACGTGGGCTCGGGCTCCGAGCTATCGGCCACGATTTTTTGGGTGGACGTTGGAGTCGGGAGAGGTAATGAATTCCGGAGTTGGGCGAGAGCCTTGACGCGAGCGGATAAAATTGATTCAAACGGAAAGGCCAAATCAAAGGCGAGGAGATAACGGAACCAGCGAACAAGGCCAAATAGAGCTTGCATGGAAAAGGAGCAATCTCGGATGATAAGTCGGTCTAGACAGAGCCCGTTGAGACTAATGCCGTAAAAGTTGTCCATACAAATCGGCGTATGACTCAGATGAAAGCATCGAAGCGCATTGGACTGGTGGGCAATAATAGATAGAAGACAGTTAAGATATCATAAATAAACAAGCATATGAAATGAAGAGTGAGCTTTATGCGCTAAAAAGATAAGAAGATCAAAGAAAAACAGATAAAAGGGAAATAATATAAGATTGAAAGGTCGCACAAGCAGGTTTCTTTATTATTTTTATGTATAATCACACATAGAGGAGTTATGAAAAAAGTATAATGAGTCTGCGTCTAGCGGACTCATACCACGGAGACCAAAAAATGGTTGCCAATTACGATTACTAGATGATAACATTGCAATACTCGGTGACAAAGTGAAAGAAGATTGCTAGTTTAGGCACGATAGATAGATAGACCATTCCACTCTGTTCCTTATTCTACCTTGTTGTCAGCTGGATGACCTACTAAGGAAATGAACATCAGAACAATGTAAAAAGATAAATAATTAATTTTTTCAGTCTGGCCTTCTTTTCGAGAATTTCCTACCCTCTTTCTAGATAAGGTTTTTACACGGTTTTGTGCTCATGCGGTAATGTCTATGCCGGAAAGACCTGCCTACCCATCCAAGAGAGATAGTGGGAACACAAACCGCGTGTGAAGGCCTATATGTTGAAGAACCTGAAATCACTAAGCTCATGGCTAGCAAAGGGCACTCAATAACTGGTAAAAACACAATGTTTTGCTGGTATGAAGACCAAGATGGTGTGGCCTTTTGTGTGGTCGCAGTCTCCTTTCGTTGTATAGTGGTTG